CCCCGGCAAAAAGAAATATTAATATAATTTTATTTTTTTTACCCCTTATCGGGAGAAAAGAGTAAAAGTGGTAATGGTTGGCCCCGCATCCACCCAGTGCTGTTTCAACGGAAGTGTTCTATTAATTTTTGTCTTTTACTGAATATATATTTGGCATCAGCCATGTATAACTAGACATATTCCTAGATATCTGATTGGAAGAAACGATGGCTTGGTCCCTATGGCAAATTCCCTTTCCATAGGCATTGGGGCTGCTCCTTGACCCAGTTTATGGGCAGTTTCTGCAATCTACTTCAGTACTTCCCTTTCTTTCAAACTGATATTCAGTCCTTTATATTCAAGAGTTTACGATCAACTCTGTGAATCTGGAAGAATAAACCTGTGGGCAAAGTGTTTAAGTACTCATTTAGGAATATGGATTTAGCTGGCTTTATATTTCATAAAGATTCATAGACTGTGCCCCCAAAGATGAATTGCTTAGTCTTAATATAAGTATAGATGAGCTGTCTACCAGACAGACCAAGAGTCTCCCCAGCCCATGCCCGTTTGCCTCAGTGGAGAGAGCATTAGCTTATGGACTGAAGGGTCCGGGGTTCAATTCTGGTCAAGGGCACATACCTTGGCTGGCCCTGGGGTGGGAGGCCACCAAATCAATGTGTCTTTCACATCGATGTTTCTCTCTCTGTGTATCTCCCCAACTCTTCCACTCTCTCTAAAAATCAATGGAAAAATATCCTCAAGTGAGGATTAAAAAAAAAAAAGTCTACCCAGCCCAATATTCTAACATAATACTAACTTACTTTATGGAAAAATTTTTAGAAAAAGTTGACATTTATTATACATTTTATCAGTTTTGACAATGGAATCTGAGGCTTAGGGGTTATTGTAGTCATCTCGGGTTGGTGCGACAAAAGGCCATGACTGGGTGGCTAACATAACAGACATTTATTTTCTCACAGTTCTGGAGGTTGGATGTCTGCCAGCATAGTTGGGTTCTGGTGAGGACCCTCTTGCTGGCTTGCAGAAGGCAGCCTTCTAGCTATGTATTCATATGGCCTTTCTCCAGTGCCTGCATGTGGAGAGAGAGAGCTTTGGTGTCTCTTCCTAGGGCATCAATCCCATCACAGGGCCCTCACCATCATGTCCTCTTCTAAACCCAATAACCTCTCAAAGTCCCCACCTCCAAATACCATCATTTTAGGGGTTAGGGCTTCAACACATGAATTTTGGGGTGGGGTGGAGGACACAAACCTTCAGTCTCTAAGCTGGTTAAGTCACTTTCCTACCCGTACTCAGAGAATCTAGTAGCAGGCAAATGCTGACTCCAAATATTGTTTTTTCTTTTCCCTAATAATTTGTCTTTATTGCTTTTTATACATGGGCACTCAAGTAATTAGCATTTTTGAAAGCAGGATGTTACTTGTTCTCACTGATTATCTGTGATGTATTCCCTAAAACATTAATCTCCCTTCCGTGCTTATTTTTCATATATGTTTATCCATATTTCTCAGCTGTGAGAGCAAACAATCCAGGGCCTCTCTGCCTCTCACTCTTTAAAGTTTTCTCAGGAAAAAAAAAAAAGAACCGAGCTCTAGGTGCTTCTGGCAATTTTATTCCAACACAAGTAGCGCCCAGATTGTAATTCTGATAAGTATTTCAGTTCTTTCTTGAAAAATTAAATTCACAAAACAATTGATTATCAGTTATAAATGGCGAAAACACCATCTGGTTTTCAAAATTGGTTCAATCCGTGCAGCAAGGGGGAAATGTTGGAACTTGGAGTTGGCTAGGAGTTCTAGTCCACAAAGCAGAAAATGACGAGCTTTCCTCCGAGCAAGCCAGAGTAGTCATAACTTGCATTTAGCGGCTGCGGGAATTTGCTACGTGCTTCACATGTTCCATATGTTAACTCACTTGGCGATGTCTCTAGTGTGAAGAGCTGGGGTGGGAAAGGAGTGTGGCTAGTGGGTAGGGTAGCAACAGCGTAATCCTAAAGGTTCAGCTCTGGTTCTTTCCGTGGAGACGCAGTGATAAAGATGTCCCGTGGCCTGGGAATTTGGATGTGTAAGTTCCTTAAACTTATGGCACAGGTGGCATTCTTTTGGTGGAAATCTCTAAAGCTATTTGCATTCTGCTGGCGAGGTAAGTCATACAGCATTAGCATTTCCTACAAAAATGTCCCGTGTTGTTCTTTGCCAACTGGAAATTTGAGTAGGTGTTCATTGGATGTGCCAAGAGAATGAAGGGATATGAAACCACTCCACCTCTTCCAATGTCCCATACTGTGTTCTTAGTGTGGGAGGACTGGGGCCTGACGAGATTCTCGTGGAGATTCAGCTTCATGAGGAATGTTTTTCCTTGGGAGTAAAAATGAAATCCTGTTACTTTAAAAAAAATGTTTCTGAACTGCTGGCATATTTTCACCTTATGTTAAAAATGTAGATATGGTTTTGATCCATGCATTATAATGTGAAATGTATTCATCCACTTAACAAATATTTATTGAGGCACAGTATCGCAGAGTGGTTAATTGCATAAGCTCTGTCTGCACTTTAGAAACTTTGACCTTGGGCCAATGACTTAATTTTCCTAGCAATGTTTAAAAAATATAAAATGAGAGATAATAATAGTATGTACCATGGGGATTGTTCCAAAAATTAAGTGAGATTATGCAGGCAAAATACTTAATTAAGAACTCAATAAGCCCTAGCTGGTTTGGCTCAGTGGATAGAGCACCGGCCTGCAGACTGAAGGGTCCCAGGTTTGATTCTGGTCAAGGGCACATGCCTGGGTTGCGAGCTAGATCCCCAGGAGGGGGCCTGCAGGAGGCAGCCGATCGGTGATTCTTTCTCATCATGGATGTTTCCATCTCTCCCTCTCCTTTCCTCCCTGAAATCAATAAAAATATATTTTTAAAAAAGAACTCAATAAATGCAATGTAGTAATAATAATAGCAAATAATATTATTATGTGCTAGGCTCTGTGCAAGGATGCCAGAGTTCCTGGCATATAGGACCTTACTTTATGGTTTGAACCTCAAATTGTTTCTATGGCCTCAAATTGTTTATCCTGATTTTGTTGGGACTCTGCTTTGCATTTTAGTCTGATCCAGGTAGATTTACTTTCAGAGGCATAAGAACAGGTCGGAAGTTGCGAACTGGACACGTGGTGATGGTTTCCATGTGGTGATGGTTTCCTGCCTCATGTAGTGCTATTTTCCTGCGGGAGCCTTCCCACTTCTGGAGGGCTGCCTGCAGTTCATGCATGTGGCCTGTAATTAAGAGCAGAAATTCCAGGGTTGTGGAGACAGGGCAGTCTTGAAATTAGTTTATGCATAATGGGTAATAGGAGGCCGTTTTAAGTGTAACTCATTTGTTGGGTGTGCAGCTCTCGACTTCCTTTTTGGGTATGTAATTTTATTATTTATTTATTTTGAACATGATGAGGACGGAGGGCCTGGCCAAGTCATGTGGTGCAGCTCCACCAGACCATAGCTCAGACTTAGCAATTCACATTTAGTAATCTCTTGGTCATTTAGCCACAGATAATTTGTCATGGTTTGTTTTAGCTGTTGTGATATTGATATTTATTATGCAAATTGTATTTCCTACATCTTATTGTTCTGCATTCTATGAATACTTAAATTATTATAAACCTTTACACTTAATATGGCTCGTCCTTCAATTTGATGCTTGAGCAACAGAGGGTCAGAGCGCACATGATCTTCTAGAGGAGAAGAAAATAAGTAATTAAAAAGCAAACAAACAAGAGAGGGGGCTCCCTGGTTCAAAAGAAAGCAAAGGCAATTTCGAGGAGGTAGAGCGAGTGGAGTCGGGAGAGCCTCTCCCAGAGACCCTGGAAGCCCGAGCACCTGTTGGACCACCCGCCTGAGGAGGGACTGGGGGTGTAGAGCAGGGAGGAGTGGGTTTTAACTCCGAAGGAGGAAGATGGCAAACCCTATCTTCACAGGGGCGCCCACCACTCCCCGCCTCCGGGACTGCACCCGGAAGCCTTGACAGGATAATATTTTTTTTGTTGTTGAATGTGTGTAATCGTATTACATATGGTCATATGTATTAAACACACACACACACACACACACACACACACACACACACACACTAAAGCCAGGAAGGCGACCTTCAGCAAGCTGGGGCGCCTGAGTCGGTCCTCCTCGAGCCACCTTTCCCGAGAATCTATCACAAAGACGCGGACTCGAAAACCCCAGAGCCCGACTCTGGCTCCTTTCTCCCCACTATGCCCCAGTCTACCGCTAGGTTGCCGAGCAGGCTCTCGCGCTCGCCGGACGTGCAGAGCACGCATGCACCTCTCCCGGATTGTTTTGTCAATCCGGGGACCTGCACGCTCACTCTCCACGCCCGAACACCCCCGTTTCCCGGAGATCGATCCCTCCGGTGCAAGGTGAGTGACGGAAATTTGCAACGTCTGCTTTCCAGGCCGCTGTGCTCGGTGTACCGGGCAGGGAACCTCCTAGGGAGATCCTCCAGTCATTGGTCCGACATCGCGCTTGCTGTAAGCATTCTTAATAAAGGTGTGCAGGAAGCTAGAACCGCCCCCGGAGCCGAGGCCCCACGCACCCGGCGCAGGGAGAACACTTTTTCCTAGATGCCCAGGAAGGGAGAAAGAATTTTAACATAAACATATTTGCATACGCCCCGCCCCTTTGTCCCGCCCCTAGGTGGCGCGGGCGCGTCGCCGAACCCCAGCGCCAGGGGGCGGGGTGGGGGATGGGGAAGTCCTCGGAGAGCCGGGTTGGGCTCTCAGCGCTGTGATTGGTCGGCCCTGACTCCGCCTTCAGTGCATGTCATTAGCATATCATTAGTTGTCCGCGCTGGCTCCGGAGGAAGCCGCCGCCGCCAGTCTGAGGCAGGTGCCCGACATGGCGAGTGCTGTGCTGCCGAGCGGATCCCAGTGTGCGGCGGCGGCGGCGGCGGTGGCGGCGGCGCCTCCCGGGCTCCGGCTCCGGCTTCTGCTGTTGCTCCTCTCCGCCGCGGCATTGATCCCCACAGGTAGGTGTGGGACCAGGCCAAGCGGCCCTCTAAATCTCCTAAGGCGCCCCAGTAGCCGTAGCCAAGGGGTGGTGGTGGAAACGTTTCCATGACAACCGTCCCCCACTTCCTAAATCCTAGGCGCTGAGAGTGTGGAGAGGAAACTCAGGGCTAAGATGGAAGGGGCTGAGGGGATCGGTCATTCCCCTCTCCCTTGTCCGGCTGGGTGTGAATTAAGAGTCCTTAGGGATGGCTGCACCCACATCTTCCCTCCACGGCTTGGCGCGGAGTGGAGTGAGAATGGGGAGCCCGGTTGGGAGGGGGGCTAGAGAATTTGGGGGAAGGGGATGGGTCATAGGCACCCCACAAACCGTCCAAACTCGCTGTTGTCCCCGTAACTTGCAGTCCTCGCCTCTCCCAGGCCACCCATTCACCACCGCCTCTCCAGCGGGCCCCCCAATTCTCCATCCCCAAATCCTCCCCGTGACTAGCAGCCGCCTCCAGTGAGATAGATCCCTCGCTGCTCCACAGGACAGCCCCAGACTTGTCTGGTCGCTCTGCGCCCCCCGCGCTCTGCCTGTTCCCGAGCCGCGCGTCCCCAGTGCTCCCGCCAGCCTGACCGCGGCCCCTCGGTCCCCTCCGCCCGGCTGCGGGGCGCCTCGGCCAGGCTCCCGGGAGGGAAAGTTACCGGGTCCGGCCCCGCGGGGGGCGTTTGCTCTCGTCGCCTCTGCGGGTCGGAAGCCCGGGAGCCCCGCAGTCGGGCCTGCCCCAACGGAATCTCTCCGCCGCGAGGTGGGGGACGCCAAGATTTTCAGGCTGCCCCGTCCCTTTGAGCAGCCCGGGGGTGGCGGAGGGAGCGTTCGCGGCCCTTTGCGCCAAAACGGGCACCCTTTCGGGCCCTCCGGGGGCCCCCCTGTGGGCAGGAGGTTGTCTTTGGGAAATTTGCCGGGGGGGGGCTTTTCACCCCCCGGGGCTCTCCCCCAAAAGACGCGGAGCCCTTCG